AGGGTGAAGCCAAAATCTGGGTTACTCTGGTTAGGCCCCATCGATCAATGGATTAAAAACCCTGGTTGAATTCATTGACTGGTGGTTCCTGCTTCCCCGTAAGGCCATACTAAGCTGTCCTGACTCCTGGAAGGAAGAAGTCAGCTGGCTACCATGCTGAGGGGGGAATTACCAGTATTCCACTCCCATCTTGGACCACGATATTTCTGTGCACATCACAAAGCATGCTTGTTAGCCAAAGGAAAGGTTAAGTCAATAATCACAGGCTTTCATATTTATCATTTTGTTATGATTACAAATCAACCCTGATCTCAAAAGAATAGGAGCTGAAGTATGGCTCTTCAAACATTATACAATTAAATGAGTCATCATGGCTTTGCAGAAACTGCCAAGAAAGACGGTCTTTTGAATATCTTTCAATACAGAGTAATAATTAACTAATATTATTATTATTGTAGAATAAATACTCTATGTGATTGTAGCTTATTATATTACAATTATTATAATATATTATATTATAATAATACAAAAGCAGATGAGTCCATATAAAGTCATTTGCGACTGTGACAAAAAGTACAAACTGACTCCAATTAACATGCTGGACAACATGGCCCCTGGCAAAAGAGTCCTTGAAAACCAACCTCTTTTCTTCTTTTTAAAACCAGTTTATCCTTCACCCAGAATTGAAGGAAGGCTTAGATACGCTAAAGATAACTTTCAGTGTTCTATGTGGAGCTATAGCTGGAGACTTCTCTAACAGCAGTGCACTAAATTGCAGTTTATCATTGATTGTTCTCAGCCAATACTTTTTACAAACAACCACATTTTCATTTAGATTGAATTTTTGAAACACACACTTTTGAGGATGAAAACTAGTCAGAAAGTTGGTTTAGGCATACCCTTAATGGCCATGAGGTGCTGTAGCAGAATTCATACTTGTACTGAAGTGAGCGGAGTAACTTCATGGACAACATATACAATTTGCTGTCAAATGTTTGCCATTAAATTTAGGGAATGGCACAGTGACAATGGTGTGCATGTAAGCAAAACAAAAATATTTGCAAAGTTTGGAATATATTTAATTTGAGAGTTAAATGTTCTCTGAAGTTGGCAGGTACAATTAATGTGTACCAAGCCACAGGCTGCGTTTCTTCCAATGCATTTTGTTCTTAGGAAACAGACAATGTTTTATGAAAGGAAACCGAGTGTCACAGTCAGCTTAACATTGACTGTGGTGGGTCCAGAATCAAAAGATCATAAAAACCATTCCTGTGAACATTTTCTCATTTTAAAGAACATTTTTTTTATCAGCCTGATCAACAGAGGACATTTTAATTCTGACCACTACTCTGCTTGACTTTTGTTGCACCCTCTTTGAATAATCAGAACACCAGAAAGTAGATTACTCCATACCCGAATTTAACAAATAAGAGAAATAAATATTTAAGTATATTTTTGAGAGTAAGTTCTTTTTTACCACAGGGAATTTTCCTCAGAAAATTGGAATGAGAAGTAACTGGATGAAGCCAGGTTGCACCATAACACTATTAGTCAGCTATTATAATGTGCTGATTTGAAGAATTCAAATAAAAAGATGAGTTATGCAAAGCTAAATCGTCTCAGTATTTTTTCAATTCCTATCTGACCCACTACCCCTCTCTTCCCCTATTCCTGGCCTTAACAAATTGTTTAACAAAGGATGAGTCTACTTGAGGGCTGCATCCCAGCTCCACTGTGTACTATCACGTCTCAATTTAACCACTTCACTGCTACACACATCTGTTTTTAATCCTAACTTAAATCAGTTAGCAAAGCCAGATGGCATGTCCATAATGTAGTCACATTAGTAAGTTGGGGGGGGGGGGTGTTGCTACTGTGTGCATGTTTTCACCATTTTGATTTATTTATGTCCAGTCATATGACAACCGACTGCAATAGGGGTGCAGGGGTTTTATCAGGTCCTGCCATGCATGAATCACATTCACACAATCAAACAGTCATTCTGTGTTCCTTTCATTGTGACCTGACCACCTATCTGCACTCCTATTGCATTGACTGCATTCCTGGCCAGATACCTCAGTCCTTTCTCTAATTTGCTCAAATGGAGATGACACCACAAAGGTTGCTCTTCCGCTCTCTAATTTGCCCAAATGGAGATGACCAAATGGAGATGACACCACAAAGTGTGTTCAGAATTGCAGCCTTAACAAAGCAACGCTATGCATGTGTACCCACTGAGTTCAATAGTCCTTACTCCCGGGGAAGTGGGTAATTTTCAAAAAGGAAAAGGCATTCAAGAAAGGTAAAGCAGCAGCAGCAACAACAGTAGTAGCAACAGTTCAGCAGACCAGAAGTTTCTAGTGCCAGAAGTAGAGCAAATGAGCTTAAGCAATTCAGAAAAAGAGTCAAGCTTGAAAGTTATAAAAATACTTTATTTACAGAACTACATAACTAGATAGGAAAGGAAAACAGGGCCTAGCTATCTATCTAACTAGCTCACACGGAATCATAGAATCATAGAGTTGGAAGAGACCTCATGGGCCATCCAGTCCAACCCCCTGCCAAGAAGCAGGAATATTGCATTCAAAGCACCCCTGACAGATGGCCATCCAGCCTCTGTTTAAAAGCTTCCAAAGAAGGAGCCTCCACCACACTCCGGGGCAGAGAGTTCCACTGCTGAACGGCTCTCAGGAAGTTCTTCCTAATGTTCAGATGGAATCTCCTTTCTTGTAGTTTGAAGCCATTGTTCTGCTGTCCTAGTCTCCAGGAAAGCAGAAAACAAGCTTGCTCCCTCCTCCCTGTGACTTCCTCTCACATATTTATACATGGCTATCATATCTCCTCTCAGCCTTCTCTTCTTCAGGCTAAACATGCCAGCTCCTTAAGCTGCTCCTCATAGGGCTTGTTCTCCAGACCCTTGATCATTTTAGTCACCCTCCTCTGGACACATTCCAGCTTGTCAATATCTCTCTTCAATTGTGGTGCCCAGAATTGGACACAGTATTCCAGGTGTGGTCTAACCAAGGCGGAATAGAGGGGCAGCATTACTTCCCTAGCAGCAGACATATTGTCTGTCTCCATACTCACAGGGGCTTTCTATGGGTTTGGAACAAAAGACGTGTTCCTGAGAAGCATGACGTGTTCCTATCACTTTTCTTAACAAGAAAAGTGATAGGAGAGAACAGAATGAAAGGCAGACAGAGAGGCCAATGGGGGAAGGGCTTTTCCCTGCCAACTAACTCATCTGACTAGGCCCTTGTGCAGGATGTGGTTGAGTTTCAACATATATTTCATTTATTAAATCTTTTGGTGGATTTAAACATGATGCCTCAATTGTATTGTTATATTTGTATCCAACTGTATTTTTAGTTATATTTTAGTTTATAATCTATAGTGATTCAAAATTACACATACTGCCTTTGACATCAGCATTCTAAGCTTATTTTTGGAAACACGCTATGAATCAAGATGCACATATGAGATGGCCCTATGAACACAATGCACAATACTATAATTTCGTGCCTTTGAGTGGTTTCTGATTTGTGATAACCCTGAGATGAAGCTATCATGGGGTTTTCTTGGCAAAATTTGTTCAGGGAGTTTGCCTTTGCCTTCCTCTGAGAAAATATCTAGCGTTTCTCAACCATAACATCTGTATGAGTTGAGGCAACTAATACCTCATTATCCATATTCGAAGTGTTTGAAAGGATGATGAAACAATATATTTAATGCATGTAGGGATATTTTCCATTATAGTTCTCATTGTTTATATGATCCATACTATTAATTAATTATACAACATCAACAATATTTATTATGGTCCATAGACCCATCAGTAAACAAACAGTCATTTTAAATGTAATGTCGAAGACTTTCATGGCCAGAATCACTGGGTTGTTGTAGGTTTTTTCAGGATATATGGCCATGTTATAAAGGCATTTTCTCCTGATGTTTCGCCTGCATCTATGGCAAGCATCCTCAGAGGTAGTGAGGTCTGTTGGAACTAGGAAAAAGGGTTTATATATCTGTGGAATGACCAGGGTGGGACAAAGCACTCTTGTCTGTTGGAGCTAGGTGTGAATGTTTCAACTGATCACCTTGATTAGCATTTGATTGCCTGGCAGTGCCTGGAGCAACCTGGACACAGCATATTATTTGAGAACACAGAAATGCTGGACCACTCCAACCTTCAGAAATGGGGCTACAAAGTGGAATCCTCGACATGCGAATGTGGAGAGGAGCAAACCACTGACCACCTGTTGCAATGCAACCTGAGCCCTGCCACATGCACAATGGGGGACCTTCTTGCAGCAACACCAGAAGCACTCCAAGTGGCCAGATACTGGTCAAAGGGCATTTAATCAACTACCAAACTCACAAATTTTGTATTTTGTCTGTTTGTTTGCTTTGTTCTGTTAGAAATGTAATATAATTTGACTGGTTGTCCTGACACGACAAATAAAACAAATAAATAAGCCCAAAAAACCTACAACAACCCACAAAATACATAAATAAAAAATCTTTCACTGTCCCTAACCATTTAAAAACAAAGTTTTTGACTTTGTGACTATTTGATATTCTTTTAAAACTTCTTTACTGAGAAATAAAAAAATTTCTAAATATTTGTATTAGTCCGTAATATTTCTAAACATTAAGGTTAATGGAAAGAGCAATAATGCATAGGAAATTAATGCAGTGTTTGGAGGAGAATAGACAGTTATACAATGAGTGACTTATCAACTGTTTTGGCACAAAGGAAACTGGTTTACACTGAACTGGATAGTTACTTTTAATCATCTTTGTTGAAACTTGACATTGTATCTGTAGTCCAACAGCAGCACACTTTCTCCAGTCTTGCTCTATGATGCTAAAATAGCCATTCTTATCAGGTTATTCAGAAGAACTGACCACTCATTTAAAAACCTGAAGCCAAGAAATAATAATTTATTTTTGTATTGACACAAACCTGTTGGGACAACTGCTCTGCAGGAATAACTCACCCTTTTCTGTTCCTTGATATATTCCATTAATTCTTTTCTGGATTGTTGCACAGCTTCCTCTATAGCCTTCTCACATTTCTGTTGTTGTTCAGTGAGTACTGCCTTTATGGTTGCCTATTATTTAACAAAAAGTGAGTACCCTGACATATTTTGCATACATATTTTGCTTTATACACTAAAAAGCAGGAAGGCTGCAAATATTTCTCTATTTAGTACATAACTGATATGAACATCAGTCTTGATTTAACATGATTTGTGATCCCCTTCCTGTCATTTAATTATGGAAAGCAGAAAGAACAGGTTTCTTAACAGTAACTTCAGTTGTGTTATAAAGATTTTAATGTTAGCCGCTTTGAGTCTCCTTATGGAGAGAAAAAGCAGGATATAAACATAATAATAATAACAACAATAATAATAATAAGGTCCATCATCTAGTACAGGGCTTCCTAAAGTTTTTCTACCTATGACCCCTTTTTGCCTGAAAAAGTTTTACACAACTCTGGGTATATAGGTATATAAAATAACTATACAAATCAAACCTTTAATGATAATAAATGTTAAAGAAATTTATTTTAAAACAATTATCTGGTACACATATAATTTTATCATTTATTAAAAATGAAAACAAATTTGCTTAATGAGATGGATGTGCTTGTTCATTTTTACATAAAGAATTAAATCTTGGCTGTATATTTCTGCAGGACACAAAATCTTCAAAAAATTTCATGTCATGTTAGCATGCTTGGTTTTCAGCCTCAAGTGGCAGCTGAAGCATTTGCCTCATGTTCTTGCTAACAAATTCATGTCAGTGTCTAAAACAGCCACTAGGTGAAAACTACACAATTTTTTCACAACCGCCAAATTCAGTGGTTCTCAACTTGTGGGTCCTCACATGTTTTGGCCTACAACTCCCAGAAATCCCAGCTAGTTTACCAGCTGTTAGGATGTTAGCTGTTAGGCCAAAACATCTAGGGACCCATAGATTGAGAAATACTGAGTTAGTGGATTCCAAGTGGGGTTGTGACCCACAGTTTAAGAAGCTGTGATCTAATACACATCAATACATAGCCAATGCAAGCATCTTACATAGAAAATAAACATGTTGGGATTCATACTCATGGGTAGAATACCAAGCAAAATAATAATAACCTCTTCTCATGCTCAAGGCAGAGAACAACAAAGTTAAAAGACCCAGACAAAAGTATCATAAAACATATATATTAAAATACATAGTACAAATCATTTAATGTGTTCCTCTGATGGCCGAAGAGCATCCCTATTTGGGGTTTGAATTTTGCTTTGATTTCTCAAAAATTGTGGGAGAGATCTCTTCTTGTTGCTGTCTTCTGTTAAGCTGCATTACTATAGTAGCTCTCTTGTCCTCGGGCATAAGTCACCTAAAAGTTGTATCTGTCCCTATTTCTGTTATTTTTACTTTTTGCATTCCTCCCTGACAATGTCCCTGGCTTCAATTCTGAGTCCTTCAGGAGGCTGGTCAAAAAGGTTTAATTGTGCAATTTAATTTTTACATTAGCTTTAACATCTAGGGCAGCGGTTCTCAACCTGGGGGTCGCGACCCCCCGGGGGGTCGTTTGGCCATTTTCTGGGGGTCGCGAAGCCGCATTGGCTGGCCACGCCCCCTCCAAAATGGCGGCCGACCCCCTGAGCCACTGGCACTCCCGCGCGCGCAGCAGCCCTTTCCCAGCCCAGCAATAATCACATGCCTTCCTGGAGCGGCGGAGGCAGCGGCATCCTATCTCTGAACACCTCCACCGTCGAGCTGCTACTGCAGGCCTAGAGGAGCAGCTGCAACCCAGCAGCAGCAGCTCGACGGAGGCTGATGGAAGTCCTCCCCGGCCTGCCAATGGCTCCTGGAAAAGTGGGAGAGGAGGCCTTTCCTCCGCTCTCTCTCTCTCTCTCTCTCTCAGCAGAGCAACCCAGCTAGGGAGAGAGGAAGATAAAGGGTATGCAGGGAAAGGGAGAAGGAAAGAAAGGTGCCCACGGAGTGAGGGAGAAAAAAGGAAAAGCACGCACAAGATGAGAGAGAAGGAGAGAAAGGCACGCTGAGGGTGAGGGAGAAGGAAAAAAGGCAGGCGGGGGGGGGCAAGGGGGGGTGGAAAGGCACACATGGGGAGACCCCCCCCTCCCCCACCCCCCCCCCCCAGCCCACCCCCCCCCCCCCCCCCCGTCCCCCCCTCTTTCCCCCTCCCCACGCCCCCCACCCCCCCCCCCCCCCCCCCCCCCCCCCCCCCCCCCTCCCCCCCCGCCCCCCCCCCGCCCCCCCCCACCCCCACCCTCCCCCCCCCCTGCCCCCCTCTGGACAGGCAGTGCCAGGGAGAAGGGAAAAGGGTACACGCAGGGTGAGGGAGAAGAAAGGTGAACGAGGGTCGAGGGAGGAGAAAAGGGCACGCACATGGCAAGGGAGAGGGAGAAAAAAGTGCACACGGGCGAGGAAGAAAAAAATAAACGTGTCTGGGGCAAGGGAGAAGGAGGGAAAGGTGTGCAGGCAGAAAGAGCAGAGGAAAGAAAGGTGCAAGGAAAGAGGAGGAAAAGACAGCTGGGTTGCTCTGCAGAGAGTGGATGCCCTTCTTTCAGCCGCACACCTTCCTGGCATCATCCTCCGTGGAGCAGGTGCTGGGCTGCAGCCGCTCCTGTAGGCGGGCCCAGGAGCGGAGGAGAGCCATCCCCAGGCCAACGGAGAAGCTGCAAACGGAGAAGCTCCGTGCTGCAAACGGCCCCTGAGTTGTTGCAGCAGCGTTTGCAGGCGCCTCCCAGGGGATAGCTGTGGCAGGAAGGAAAACGCAGGCTCCCAATCTCCAAGGTCTGTTTTCCCCAGAGCCCCCAGTATTCTCTTTTTGTTCATGGGTGTTCTCTGTGCCAAGTTTAGTCCAATTCCATGGCTGTTGGGGTTTCAGAATGCTCTTTGATTGCAGAGAACTATAAATCCCAAGCAGCTCCCAATCTCCAAGGTCTGTTTTCCCCAGAGCCCCCAGTATTCTCTTTGTGTTCATGGGTGTTCTCTGTGCCAAGTTTAGTCCAATTCCATGGCTGTTGGGGTTTCAGAATGCCCTTTGATTGCAGAGTTCCCTTCCACACAGCTGAATGAAATCCCACATTGTCTGCTTTGAACTGGATTATCTGTGTTCACACAGCCAGATAATCCATTTCAGTGTGTATTTTTTGCAGCTGTATGAAGGGGCCTCAGACAACCCAGTCCCCTTCCACACAGCTGAATGAAATCCCACATTATCTGCTTTGAACTGGATTATCTGTGTCCACACAGCCAGATAATCCACTTCAGTGTGTATTTTATGCAGCTGTATGGAAGGGGACCCAACTAACCCAGGCCCCTTCCACACAGCTGAATGAAATCACACATTATCTGCTTTGAACTGGATTATCTGATCCACACAGCCAGATAATCCACTTCAGTGTGTATTTTATGCAGCTGTATGGAAGGGGACCCAGATAACCCAGTCCCTTTCCACACAGCTGAATGAAACCCCACATTATCTGCTTTGAACTGGATTATCTGAGTCCACACAGCCAGATCATCCACTTCAGTGTGTATTTTATGCAGCTGTATGGAAGGGGACCCAGATAACCCAGTCCCTTTCCACACAGCTGAATGAAATCCCACATTATCTGCTTTGAACTGGATTATCTGAGTCCACACAGCCAGATAATCCACTTCAGTGTGTATTTTATGCAGCTGTATGGAAGGGGCCCTAGATAACCCAGTCCCCTTCCACACAGCTGAATGAAATCCCACATTGTCTGCTTTGAACTGGATTATCTGTGTCCACACAGCCAGATAATCCACTTCAGTGTGTATTTTATGCAGCTGTATGGAAGGGGCCCTAGATAACCCAGTCCCCTCCTAAGTTTGGTCCAATTTAATTGTTGGAGTTCAGAATGCTCTTTGATGACTGGGGAACTATACATCCCAACAACTCCCAAACGCCAAGGTCTATTTCCCCCAAACTCCACCAGTCTTCAGATTTGGGCATACTGAGTATTTGTGCCAAGTTCTGTCCAAATCCATAGTAATTTGGGTTCACTGTGCTCTCTGGATGTAGGTGGACTATCTCTCCCATAATTCACTATCAATTCAGACAATTAAGCAAAATAACAACAATAACTACATCAAGACACTATTAAAACTGGTTCGGCCGGCGCAATGGGGTACAGGGGTTAAAGTGCTGAAATGGCAGGAGGAACATAGGATTAGAGGTATGGTGTGCAGTAACATCGGTTGTACTAAAGTGCTTCTAGGACTTGGGATGGGGGATTCCTAATCTGAAAAGGCACATCGGAACAGCCAGGTTTTTAGGTTCCTTCTGAAAACTGCTAGAGTAGGGGCCTGTCGGAGATCTTTTGGAAGAGCATTCCAAAGTCGGGGGGCCGCCACAGAGAAGGCCCTGTCCCGTGTCCCCACCAAGCGCGCTTGCGACGTGGGTGGGATCACGAGCAGGGCCTCCCCAGATGATCGGAGTGAGCGTGTGGGTTCGTAGATGGAGATGCGGTCACGCAGGTAGGGTGGTCCCAAACCGTTCAGGGCTTTGTAGGTGAGCACCTGCACTTTGAATTGGGCTCGGAAAATAAATGGCAGCCAGTGGAGCTCCTTAAACAGAGGGGTAGACCTCTCTTGATAATGAGCCCCGGTTAGCATCCTGGCTGCTGCCCGCTGGACCAGTTGGAGTTTCCGAGCCGTCTTCAAGGGCAGCCCCACGTAGAGCGCATTGCAGTAATCCATTCTAGAGGTGACCAAGGCGTGGACCACCCCGGCCAGATCTGCCTTCACGAGGTACGGTCGCAGCTGGCGCACAAGTCTCAATTGTGCAAAGGCCCTCCCGGATACCGCCGACACCTGAGCCTCAAGTGTGAGCGATGAATCCAGGAGGACTCCCAAACTGCGGACCTGTGACTTCAGGGGGAGTGTAACCCCGTCCAGCACAGGTTGCCACCCTATACCCCGATCCGGTTTACGATCGACCAGGAGGACCTCTGTCTTGTCAGGATTGATCTTCAGCTTGTTCCTCCTCATCCAGATCGACACAGCGGCCAGGCACTCGTCCAGCACCCGAGAAGCCTCCTTGGAATTAGGTGGAAAAGAGTAGTAGAGTTGTGTGTCATCCGCATAAAGATGGCACCCAACTCCAAAACTCCGGATGACCTCTCCCAGCGGTTTCATGTAGATGTTAGAAAAGCATGGGAGACAGAATAGAGCCTTGCGGGACCCCATAGGTCAAAGGCCAGGGGTCCGAGCAGGCGTCTCCCAGCTTCACCATCTGGGATCGACCCTCCAGGAAGGACCGGAGCCACGACAAAACCGTGCCCCCAAGGCCCATCCCAGAGAGACACCCAGAAGGATACCATGATCGATGGTATCGAAAGCCGCTGAGATGTCCAAGAGAACCAGCAGAGTCACACTCCCCCTGTCCAGCTCTCTGCGGAGGTCATCCACCAAGGCGACCAAGGCTGTCTCAGTGCCATGACCAGGCCTGAAACCAGACTGTGACTGATCTAGGTAGTTGGTATCGTCTAAAAAGCTCTGGAGCTGGGAGGCGACCACCCGCTCCAGCACCTTACCCAGAAAAGGGAGGTTGGAGATTGGCCTGTAATTGCTCAGCACCGTGGAGTCAAGGGAAGCTTTTTTGAGGAGTGGACGGACCACAGCCTGTTTCAGATTAGATGGAAAAATCCCTTGCTCCAACGATGCATTGACAATCAACACAAACCAATCAACCAACCCCTCCCTGGCTGATTTAATGAGCCAAGATGGGCATGGGTCTAGAGATGAGGTGGTCGCCCTCACAGCCCCAAGAACCTCCTCTACGGTTTCAGGAAGAACAAGCCTAAAAGAATCCCACAAAATTGGACAAGCAGATGCCTCCGTCACCTCTTCCAGGCACTGCGATGGAATTGGAGTCGAGCTCAAGGCGTATCTGAGCGACTTTACCTGCAAAATGGTGTGCGAAATCGCGACACCGAGCTGCAGGGTCATCAGTGACCTCCTCCACCACAGGTGGGTGGAGGAGTTCCCCCACGACCCGAAACAGCTCCGATGATCTATTTGCTGCAGACGCTATACGGGTGGTCGTGAATGATTTCCTGGCCACCCGTATAGCCACGGAGTATGCCTTAAGAGAGGCTTTAGCCCGTGCTCGATCAGACACGTCCCGAGATTTCCTCCATTTGCGCTCTAGCCCCCTTCTCGTATGCTTCATCACAGTCAGCTCCCTGGTGAACCAGGGAGATGGCCTGTCACGACGCAACGAGATGGGGCGTTCGGGTGCGATCATATCTATCGCCCTGGACATCTCCCCATTATAGAGAGTCACCAAGGCGTCGATAGAATCGCCAGGCTCCAAGGCAGGAAGAACCCCAAGATTCCTCAGGAATCCATCCGGATCCATCAGTCTCCTAGGGCGGACCATTTTAATCTGTCCTCCACCCCTGCGGAGGTTAAGGGTCGCAGCAAGTCTAAAACTGATCAGATAATGATCAGACCATGACACAGGAAGGATGTTTTGATCTTCCACTCTAATCATTTCGTTGTCCGCCACGAAAACAAGGTCAAGAGTATGTCCAGCTTGATGAGTGGGACCAGATATTATCTGTGACAGTCCTATGGTCGTCATGGTGGCCATAAAGTCCTGAGCTGCGCCAGATAGGGTGGTCTCAGCGTGGATGTTAAAATCTCCCAGCACCACCAGGCGCTGGGAAACCAAGGCCGAATTGGAGACCACCTCCGCTAGCTCAGACAGGGAAGCTGCTGGGTCGCGGGGTGGGCGGTACACCAGCAGGAACCCCACACTGTCACGGCTCCCCACTTTCAAGTGGACACACTCGAACCCAGAAGCCTGCGGAACAGCGCATCTGATCACAGCGATGGATTGCCGAAAGACTACTGCGACCCCTCCTCCCCGCCCCCCTTGTCTGGCCTGCTGATGCACTCCAAAACCTGGTGGGCACAGCTGAGAGAGATTTACTCCCCCCAGCTCGTCCAACCAGGTCTCGGTAATGCATGCCAGATCCGCCCTCTCATCCAGGATCAAGTCCTGGATGGCCGCAGTCTTACCATTAACGGATCTGGCATTAATCAGCAGGACCTTTAGACCGAGGGGACTGCCAAGGAGCCTACCACTACCCACCTTCTCCAGGGTCGCAAAGACTCTGTTGCGCTTCTCCCTGGGATATCGGTGACCCGCTATTCTCCTCCCCCACACGACTTGAATGGCACCCCCTTCCTCCGGAACCCTCCCCCCCCCCTACATGGCCGGGGTCTGTAACTAGTCAGCTCTCAGAGGAAGAAGTTGGGCTGGGGAATAATCTCCCTTGGGCGTTGGGTGGGGATGTTCCTGATGATGAGGTAGATAGTGAAACATCAAGGGAGCTAAGTGGACTGAATAAGGGAAGTGTTCTCGAGCGAAGGAGTGCAGCTGGTTGGGTGGGGGCGACCGGGGCAGATGGAGTCTCAAAATGGTACGAACATTACATTTCATAACAGTAGCAAAATTACTGTTATGAAGTAGCAACGAAAATGTGGTTGGGGGTCACCACAACATGAGGAACTTTATTTAGGGGTCACGGCATTAGAAAGGTTGAGAACCACTGATCTAGGGGCATCTTCATCAAAATTTATTTTGGCCTAATGGCCGGTTTAGAGTTCTCCTTCAGCTTTATTCTGTTTTTTTTTTATATTAGCAATTCATTGTCTATATCACAATCTGTTTCTAGTCCAGCTTTTGCAGAAAAAATGGGACTTCATCTTCTGCTTCGAATTTTCTTTTCTCTTTGATTTCTATATTAGTTACTAGGGCTGTGTGATCAATGAAAAAAAGTTTCAATACTCATTACTAAACTGGGGAGGAGGCAAATAGTTTTGAGAGTGTTTCCAAAATGATGGACTTAAACATTTTTGTAACTATAACAAAGTAAAGAAATTCCCATTACTTTTTCTTTAAGTAATTAAGCAAGTGGGAAAACTTCAGGGGTTCATTTCTCCCTCATTTTTAGAGCTATCACGATGAAACTGGCTATAATTGTACTACACATTTTCCAATGTCAGCCCACCAAGTTTCAGAATGTGGGGAACTTTTGATTTTTTTACAAGCAATATACATATATTAAAAACAAGAGCTATCTACTTGAATTTTCTATACAATGCACTTCCAAAACCACCCAATGAAACAAAAAATAACACTTTCAGGAACAGATTTTTTTATTATTATTCAAAAAATGTTTTTTTATAAAAACTTTGAGAATTTTTTCCTGGCAGGGATCGAACTCACGACTTCCCGGTTTTGGGGGCAGTGCGCTCCCTCAAGGAGCCACCGACCGCTCTGTCGCAATAGCAATTCGGAACTTATACTTATTCACTTCCCAGCGGGAAGCCGGTTCTTCTTTTCCGGCCCCAATTCAAAACTTGAAGACATTCCTTCCTTCATCCCTCCCTTTAGAGTTCCCTAGGACTGATGCACTGGGCAGTCTGGCTTGCTAAGGTACTTTGGGAAACTACATCTCTTGTGCATATAAAATTTGCCAAAAATCCATGGATAAGTCAAAAGTTATGAAATTTGGTGAGCTAACAGTGGTCCATGTGTTCTACCACTGTAGCAAGTTTCATCAGGATTGGTCTAAAAATGAGGGCGGGAGAATCCCCTGAAGTCTCCCCACTGCCAGTGCTGTTTTTTTCCTACTGTGCATGCATGTCTGCCATTAACAGAGTAATTCAGAAGTTTTAGAAAATTTTGATTTTTTTAAAAAAAATCGGAAGTGACATCCGAAATGAGTCTTGAACCATTTTTTTTAATCAACCAAGCCTTGAAGATATGCTGCATCCACAGTATTCCCTTCAGCCATTGATTTTCTTTTAAAAAAAAGATAAGGTTTGTCTCATATGATTTGTTTTTGAGGAATCCATATTGAATTTTGTGAGTATGGCATACCTTTCTAAGTACTTATAGACTGACTGTTTAATGATCTCTCTTAGTATTGATGCAAGGCTGACTGTAATGGCATTATGACCCTTTAGAAGCTTCTGAACATTAAGCAGTTTTACGAAATTTATTGTAAGGTACAAAGGTACATAAAATGATTTGCTGTTATTGTAAAAAAATACATAAGCAATACTGAAAGAGTGCACATTAGAATCATTTTTCTAATTATATAATAAACATAATAAAGATTTCAAATTAGTAATAAATGAGCATGATAAATAAGAACATAAAAATGACTAACCTCATTGCACTGTCTTTCTTCTTGGACCGCATTTTCAATAGCTTGAGTGATCTCTTCATGATCTTTGTTCCGCTCTGCTTTCCACATTTCTCTTTCTTCAGCATGAAGTTTTTCCATGATCTCCCTCTCTGCTTTTACTGCTGTCATAACTGCAGCTTGCATCTCCTCCTTTTCAATCTACAAATAAAAGAATGTGGTCAAACTGAGTATATATTAATACTTAAACTATTTATGTATATGGGTGCAAAGGGATAGTCAAAACCTTATTTATTTATTTATTTATTTATTTACTATATTTATACCCCGCCCTTCTCACCCTCAAAGGGGAGCCAGAGCAGCTTACATAATTTGGCACAATTCAACAATATATAAACAAAACAATACAAAATAAAACAGATAAAACATAGAAATATCATAAAACTTTATTTTTATTGCCTAAGTATAGTACCATACATAAAGAAAGAACTGTAGCATGAGCTTATGTAGACTACATTAGATGTACAGGATAAAGTGCTTATAGCCAGAAATGTATGCCTACAAATGAGAAGATGTATCTGTGAATTTTAATAGAAATTAAAAACTTCTGGATACTATGATAAGGTGAAAAGTTCAGGTTTCATGATGGTCATTGAGGAACAAAGTTGGGAGGAAATATATTGCCTAAAACCAAGATGAGTAGATAACCATATGAACACTGGAATGAATTCTTGGAATGTTATATGATACTGGTTGGGAACTTGAAAGTTGTGATGAAATGGTCAAAGGAGCCCTCATGAGACTAAGGTGTTAAGGTTATAATAAGTGTAGTGTGGCAGGAAACCATTATCTCTGTTCAAACCAATGCTGATGGACTGGAATTTGTGACATATTTGAATTCTGCAGTTTCTCTTTCCAAAATCCCTTTGAAGCTTTTTTTTTTAATTGTTGTTCAAGGACTGCTGCTCTTAGATTTGAGAGTGGTTGCTCTATGATTTTGTGTAACCCCATTCCTAATGTTTGATTTGTATCTATTTATCATCTGGTGCAGACTGACTGGTCTGTCTGCCCAATGGTCATTGCTAAAAACCCAGTTGCCAATTCTGCCCACACATCTACTCAGGAAATATATAATCACAGGATCTAATTACATCACCTACAGAAGGGGTCCCCAAAATAAGGCCCGGGGGCCAGATATAGCTCTCCAAGGTCATTTGCCCAGCCCTCACTCAGGGTCAACCTAAGTCTGAAACAACTTGAAAGCACACAACAACAACAATCCTTTCTCATTAGTCAAAAGCAGGTCCACACTTCCCATTGAAATACTAATAACTTTATATTTGTTAAAAATGTTCTTCATTTCAGTTATTGTATTGTTTTAAAGTGTTTTTGTACTACAAATAAGTTATGTATAGCGTGCATAGGAATTCATTCATTTTTTTTCCAAATTATAACCCTGCCCTCCAACAGTTTGAGGGACTATGACCTGGCCCTCCATTTAAAAAGTTTGAGGACCCCTGACCTACAGCATTAGAGGTACCTTCAGCTGCTTATCCTTTAATGTGATATATGTCATTTCAGTGAACAATGTCCTTCAGATTTTACACCGGGCAAATAATCTAGACCAGGGGTCCACAAACTAAGGCCAAAGAGCTGGATGCGGCCCTCCAAGGTAATTTACCCGGCTCTCGCTCAGGATCAACCTAAATATGAAATGACGTAAAAGCACACCACCACCACCACAACAACAACAACTCTATCTCATCAGCCAAATCAGGTTCACACTTCCCATTAAAATACTAATAAGTTTTAATTTGTTTAAACTGTTTTTCATTTTAGTTATAGTATTGTTTTTAAGTGGGGTTTATTTTGCACTACAAATAAGATATGTGCAGTATGCATAGGAATCTTTTTTCTAGCTGCCAATTACAGTTTTGAGGGAGTGTTTTCAACTTCACAGCCACAAAAAATGTGTATTAAAACATTTTAAAGTCATTGTAGTAAATACATGTTTTTTTCAAATTATAATCCGCCCCCCCAACAGTTTGAGGGACTGTGACCTGGCCCTCTGTTTAAAAAGTTTGAGGACCCCTGATCTAGACTCTGTGCCAGAGAATAAAAGGATAGTACTGAAGACACAAAAATTGGTTACAGAAGAACTCAGTGTTCTTGGATATTCCATTGTAGACTTAAAAACAGTAATCCAGGAACAATAAGAGTAATTGGAAATCAAATACAGAATTGGGTACAAAATCCTGCCTACCAACAGTGAGTTGAACACACAATGGTTTCCGAAGTACACTAAAGATCACATAACACTAGCTAACACCCCAGCCGTGTGAGTTATGTCTTGCAGTATTAGAACACCAGAACTGAGCATGATCATCACAAGGAAAAGGAAAGGATCGCCTTCTATTAATAAGTCCAGATTCCATTACCTCTGAATCTTCCATAACTCAAAAAGCATACAGTTCTAAAAACCAGTTTCAAGCTACCTTTATAGCAGCTGCCAAGGCTTCCTCATTGGTTTTCCTTTCAGCCTCCATGCAGTTTTCCAATATTTCCTACAAATACAGTAAGAAGAAAAATATAAATCAAGCAGGAAAAATATATATTCAAAAAGACTTTAAAATGTATTTACTACAATGACTTTAAAATGTTTTAATACACATTTTTTGTGGCTGTGAAGTTGAAAACGCTCCCTCAAAACTGTAATTGGCAGCTAGAAAAAAGATTTGCTTTTGTAAATGTTCTGCACTTTTTGTTTCAGCTCTTGTTTTATTTGCCCATGGAAACAAAGTAGTTTCTAGTTTTAGTTGTATGCTTGTTTTTGATGGGGCAGGACACTCACGCCTGACGAGAGGGAGCCACTTTGTAATCAAGGAAATAATCTGGAGCCCAATTCTTACAAGGAAAGACCAGAAAAGGTGCCAAGGCAACTATAGCAATGTGTGCTGGCTCTCGTCAAAACTGCACTGCCAAAATTGCTGGTGCTTGTTCCAAAGCCATATCCTTCTTCTGCATCCACCCTATTTACAATGCAATTGATATGTTTTCCTCCATCCCCAAAAGCCTCATTTCTCACTGAGTTGCAGCCTTATCGAGCTTATTTTGTTCTCTGTAATGGAACAAGTGAAGATACTCTGGTCTATGGTCTCATGACAAGAACATTCTGGCACAAACACACACACATACACAGCACAAACCTATCATAATTACTGTGGTAAACTACATGGCAACTATGGTAACAACTTCAGCAGAAATGGCCATAACCAACAAGGAATACGACCTCCAATTGGTTGAGGATATCCAATGCAGCCTCCTGACACAAAGAGGAACTCTAAAATAATAGAGATGTATTAATCTCAATAACACTCTGTCAGCAACAGCCTGAGAAATGCAGATTTACCTTGTATTTCTGAAACTGCTGCAATAAAGATTCTTCTGATTTTTTACTCAGCACTTCACACTCCTTGTCCAACATATCAAGAAGCTTTTGATGCTGTAAAGAAAATAAACTTATTGCAATGATTTGTATTTTTAAAATGAGAATCCAAAACATTTAAAACATTTTATTTGCTAAGTTAGAACAAATTAGACAACTGGTCTCTTAATATTAACAAATGATATTAGTTGTAGCAAGGAGGATTAAAGGAAATCATACATTGTATTCAGACTTGGAATCAAAAACTAAAAGTTAATGTAACCGTGGCCCCTGACACATCTGTTCTCTCACTATTTCAACACCTGATGCATTTTCTTAAGCCTTTCTTTTAAAAAAAAATATTAACATGCTATCCTTTGCAGCTACTCTTTACTGCTACAAGTTGTCTAGAACTTATAAGAAGTCAATTCAATTAATAAAAACATTTTCATATGGGAAATCTGCCTTTGCACTTTTCTCCATTTTGCATCCCAATCACCTATGACTGTCAACAAGTCTTTATGTGTGTGTGATCCATTACCCCCGGAACTTCAGCCATAAAAATTTTCAGTTACTTCCTCTTTGGCCTCTGTAGTTCCAACATAAACTTAAATGATGATAACAGTGATGGGTTTTCCTTGATGTCGTATTGATACTATCCTATCAGACTTTGCACTACATCCTTGACTGCTTGGGCTACATCTCTTCCACGGTTAATGCACATTTCTTTCTTTTATCTCCTAAATAAAACACTGTGTAAATGGCTGACTCAAAATGACCCATTCTTGTGCACCTTTGTTTGTTCGCCCCAAGTGTTGAAATATCTATACATCCAGTTTCTTACTATGTTTCATCTCTTACATTCGACATTACTATGTGTGTTATGCAGCTTCAAACTTTGCATTCATCCCCAATCATGTCAACAACTGCACATCATTTGGCTTGAATCTAATTAAGTCATTAGCCACAGTACTAGTCCTAGTCATTCACTGTTCTTTCCCAGTAGCCCTTTGAATGTCTTCTGACCTCTAAGTCTCATCTTCTGACACAATCTCATTTCATTTGATTTTCAACATAATAGTTTCCATTAGTGGTTTACCACTGCTTTCTTCTGCACAAAATTAACACGTTTTAGCTATGGTGCCACTGTTGTTGTCTGTAAGAGATTCCATCACTAGTGTCATCTCCACTACTGCTGTTGGCCACTAGCTGTTTGGCAGATTTAATCTGGCTCCTCAACAAAAATCTGCCTGACATGAGAGAACATTCCATTATCCACCTAGTCTCCTGTTCCACCAACATGAAAAGTCAGTGCCATGGTGGGGAATATTGACTATTATCTCTGTTTTCCCTCACCAACCAAACACTTTTCCTTCTACACACCAGTAGTTCTCATCTATTAAAAAGATGCAGGGAAGACCCAGGTAACCAGTCAATCTTATTGATGTTCCAGGAGAAATTAATGCCAGATGTCTTTTGGAGAAACTGGAGGATTAAGAAAAGGAAAAACCTTTACACCAAAACAAGTTGGTTTTTATACAGGGCAATCAACAGTTGACTGAAAATACTTGGTGTTTGTATTAATTTAAAAGTTGCATTTGATTCCATCCTTAGGAAACCCTATGGAATAAGCTACACACTTGGCGAACTGAGCTGCAACTAAATAGTATTATGAGCCTACAGTCAAAACAGCTCTAAAAATCAAGAGTAGGCCGAAAGGGAAAATGAATGAGATATTATGTCAAGAGCAAAACTGATAATGCTATTTCTTCCCATCCATCCCATTATAGTTTGTTTCCAACAATGCTGCTGCTAAAAAGGATACTTCTCCTTCTACACTGCATGTTTACCTACACTATGATACCCCTCCCCTTTGTTGGCTTCCACTGTTGGCAGAGGTAGGGGGGAATTTTGGCAGCAAGGAAAAGAGGGGGCAGAATCAGGAATATGAAAAGGCAGCTTTGTAAAAAAGAAACCCAAAAGCAAAAGTTCAGAAATAGGCTACACTTTTCTTGCAAGCAGTTTTTAAAGCAACAAATCGAGATGAAAATGTTTGATGTGGAGTCAAATATAAACAATTCTGTGGTTTTTGCTGATTCCTGTAAAAAATGCACGTAAAAGAAACTCTTTCCTGGAATGTGAGTCAAAGAAGATAATGTAAACAGATTAAATCATGTTCACAATGAAATTATTTTTTTACATTAAGTTTGTCTGTTATGACAGGTACAGGTAGTTGTACAGTCACAGGTGCTTCACTAAACCCATTTACAAAAAACAAACAAACAAAAAGGATTTAATTGAAAGATTTAAATAAGTAAGTAAATAAATCTAGCTCTAGTGATCGAAGAGACAACTGTAAAATGCCTACAAGGTCTCTCTTCCTCTCTTTTCATTTCATACTACTATTTTGCTCAATTCACAAAGATTTTGATTCATCTAAGTTGCTATGAAGGTATTTTTTTGATGCTATTGAGTTTGAATTATATAAATCATATTATTTATAACATGAACAATGCTTAGCTTATAAATCAATACCCAATACCAATGAAAAGGTCCCCTTTCAGTCAGACGTTCACAAATTAATTATAATACTTCAGAATATATGAAGACAAAAACTAGTGAGGATGGTAGGACAGAGAGCAGGGCTTCTTCATATCTAAAAACATAACTCATACAGGAAAGTACGTTCCTCAAAATAACCTGGATCTTAACTGTATAGACTGTATAGGTCATCACCATCACTTTGAATTCTCGCTAGAAATGGCTGGATAGCCAGTTAAACCATTGTAGCAAGGGAACTGTTAGTAATCTAACTGCTGTTCTTCAGACCCCGGAAGGTTTTGAACACACTTCCATGCAGAGCCCGTTACAGTGATGCAAGCAAGATATAGCTAAGGCAGGTGTCACTGTAGTAAGTCTGATGTTCCAAGGAAAGGACTCAGCAGGCACATGAGCTTAACTGTGCAAATGGACTCCTGGCTATCATCAAGGCCTGAGCTTGCAGGGTTGAATTCAGGAGCACTCTCAAGCTGCGGACCCAAGAGGAAATGTAACCTTTCTGATTTGCCTTTCAAGTGACCAAGGATAACTCTGTTTTATCTGGGTTAAATTCAATGTGTTTGCCTTCATCAAGTTCATTGCTGGCAAAAAGCACAAGTTTAGGACAAAAGTAGCTTCTCTGGATTGAGAGGGAAATAGGTAATGGTTGAATGACATCTGTGTACTTATGACATGAAATTATAAACTCTGGACAATGTCTTCCAATAGTTTCATTTATATGTTAAGTATCGTGAAGGATGGAACTGAGATCTGGAAGACTCCACAGACTGATGGCCAAGGGGAGTCCAGCAGAACCACCTTCTAGGTTGATCCCTAGAAGAAAGGAATGAAACCACTGTAAAACAGTGCCAATGTCAGGTCCTCAAATAAGCTTTTTAGACTGTGTTCAGAAGGCCTCACTACAACTTTTCTGCCAATGAGTCTGTAGTCACAGTATCCCCTCCAGCTCCTTGGAGGGGATACTTTCATTTCACAACATGAGAGATGATGCTCGGAAGCAATTGTGCAATTATGCAAATAGCCATTTTCCCATTCCAAAGATTGGCAAAAACTTTGACAGGGAAAGAAGGAAACTTTCTTAGAATTTCTATGAAGGAATTCTAAGAATAAAACAAAACACTAAAATATATCTAATAAATATTTCAGTACAAGAAAATTCAATTTACTAACAACAATAGGGAAACACATTAAATGTAAATAATGTACACAAAATGAAACAGGTATTCATCTCTCGCTTACAAATACGTATTAGAGCATGTTTCATCAGAGTCTAATTCTTCTGAGCTGTCTTTATCTTCATTATCCCATAATATATCATCTTTCAATCCACTAAGAGCATTTGTGATGCAACATTTTTAAATGAGTGCTGCACTATTCTTTCTGGGATAAGCTTCTAAGTTGTTGATACCAATTTCTGCTTATTTTGATGCCACTGCTCTCTTAACTTTTCTAGAAGTTGTCAAGAGAAGCTTGTCAGTCAACACACAACATTCATGTTTCTTTCTCTAATAATCCTTAAATGGTTTGGTGACTGAAACATCAAGTGGCTGCAGTTGGGTAGAAGTCACCTTGGCCACCTTGATTAGCATTTAATGGCCTAGAAGTTTCAAGGTGTGGCTTCTTACTGCTTGGGGGAATCCTTTGTTGAGATGTGATTAGCTGTCCCCGATTGTTTCTTGTCTGGAATTCCCCTTTTTTTGAGTGTTGTTCTTTATATACTGTTACGATTTTAGAGTTTTTTTAATAGTGGTAGCCAAATTTTGTTCATTTTCATTGTTTTTCCCCCCTTTCTATTGAAATTGTCCACATGCTGTGGATTTCAATGGGTTCTCTGTGTAGTCTGACATGTTAGTTGTTAGAGTGGTCCAACATTTCTGTGTTCTCAAATAATATGCTGTGTACAGGTTGGTTCATCAGGTGCTCTCCTATGGCTGCTATGGCTATGGTATGCTCTTCTTATTATTTCTTAAATACAAACATCCAAACAAAGATAGTAAAAATAAAACCAAGCAGATATATTGTATAACAAGTAAGTTAAATATATAGTCTTACATGAGTTCTACACATAGTACATTGTAACTTAATTTTTTAAAAAGTAATACTTCTCCAACAGACAAGAATTCTTTCTCCCACTCTGGACATTCCATAGATATATAAACTCCATTTTCCTAGTTTCCAAAGACCTCACAACCTCTGAGGATGTCTGCCATAGATGCAGGCAAAACGCTACAAGAGAATGCTTCTGGAACATGGCCATACAGTCCAAAAACTCAAAACAACCCAGAACATACCATGCATTGAACTGGAACTAAAAACAGGTTATCAAAATAAACTCAGCAATCAATGCATTCATATGTCACCAGGGGGCTTAGAAACTGACCCAGGAAAGGGTATTCAGGGTAATAGAGTCATATGAGTGACAGGGGTCTAGTGTTGGAACTGTGGAGCCAGTCTGGGTAAATCAGATTATTATCATTATCAGAAGGGGAAGATTAAAAATGATTGCATTTCAACTGATTAAATTACAACAAACAAACATCTTTGCAAATAAATATGTAGAATCAGTTATAAAATCATGTTATTGGTGCTCTGAGTCTTCAAGTTGTTCCTTATTAATGGTGACATTAAGGTGAACCTATCACAGAGTTTTCTTGGCAAGATTTAGTCATAGGGTTTGTCTTTGCCTTTCTCCCAGGCAGAAGGAGTGTGACTTTCCTAAAGTAATCAAATGGGTTTCCACGGTTGAGTCATAACCCAATGCTGGAAGCACTAGACCACATGTTGTAGTTCCAGTGAGTTTTTGTCAGCCCTTGAAAGTCTGGGGGAATAGGTGTGAATTTGACATTAGGCCATATCCATAACCATAGCAGGTCTGCAAGGTGAACAGCTTCTGGCATGTTAGGACAAGGTAAGTAAGTGAAATCAGCAAGTGGATCAATAACTCTGGGACAGGGATAAGGGCTGTGCTACTTGGCTGGGACACAAAGTGGGGTTAAGGGCATGCTGTGACTAGTAGATATACCTGCTCTCTACACCCCAAATCTCACCCCAGGAAGAGGCACAGTGCTGATTCTAGATGCAAGCCACTTCCTTGGATCAGCTTGGCTGTGATTAGTGTTCCTTAGCCTTCCTCCCTGGTGAAGATAGGTTAAGCTGGTATCCCATCATGTTCAGTACCTAGCAACTGACTTAGAACTGGCACATACCTGGGAATCCAACTGTTTAATTAAAAGAAAGCAGTGCAAAGGTCCATAACAAAGCTCCAGTTCTCCAAATTTAATGTTATTCAGGGACCCATCTATGAAATAAGCAACTTAGTTATGATTACAGAGTAAAACAATATCTGGTTTCCATTGTGGTTCAAAATTGATGTTATTTTCCCCTTATAGATCAGGACAGGCAGCTTCCAACCCACAGGCTGGTGTAGTTAATGGGAGGTCCCCATCTATCCCGCCAGCATCCGCTTTATACACTCTCCTTCCTGGGATCCAGGCCTTTGCTTCTGTGCAAGAAATACTGCCCGTGCCAAACACCCCAGATGAATCCCCTAAAACCAGTAATGATTTTTAAATCTCAAAATGATAGAGATGGAAAAGGTCACCCACATAGCCCTGGTCCATTAATATTTGGGAATGTTTGGAACATCCTGTTATTGAGGTCTGAAATGTATTGTATTCATATTTTTAAATTTCAAGAAATTAATCTCATAATCTCCTAGTTTAGTATTACATCTGAATGCAGTTAAACTACATATACTTAATATATAATACATTATTATTATTACACATTTATTTATTGTATAGAACTAGAACAATTTCAAAAAACATTTCTTGCCTTGTGTTTCTCAAAAAGCAGTCCCTCATTGCCAAGAAGCAAACACATCTGAAATTGCCGAAAATTCCAAAAACGATTTGTGACAAAACATGGAGGGTTACCTTCACTTTCTCTCAGAAAATTCCACAAGACAAGAACATGTTGTTCTTTCTTTCTGTCGGTTTGCTTTTTTGATTCCAGCCAAAGGATCTACTTATAAGAACATATGTGCAAACATTTTTATTACCTGAGCAAGAAGCAGTCCTTCACACTTCTGTGCCTGTTTTTCAATTGCAGATACATACTGTTTTTCAATAGCTTCTCCACGCAGTTGAACTACAGCCTGTAGTAAGGCCTGAAACAAAGAATATAGCAGACTAGTATAAAGAGAGAAAACAGTAAGCTTGGAACATGGGGAAAGAGTTCCTAACACATTTTGTATTAAGCAACCTGTGCATACGAATGGAATCTGATTAGAAACATGCAATTTCTAAGATAAATAGTCATCTACAGGAGATATTTTATTCCTCAAACCAAAATCATTTTTGTTTCTCATGTTCCTCAGAGAATCTTACACAGAAAAACTAGTAACAGACAGAGAAAGTGAGTAGTGTTGTTAAGCCTTAGGTTCAGTTAGACCACACAAGAAGAAAAGCCTATGAGCTCTGTGTGAGTGTGCGCACAGGGAGGAGGTGTGGGGGGAAGAGCCAGACATACTTCACTGGCTGACAAAACTCCACATCCTCTCAGCACACACTGTTAGATCCCATGGGCCAAGCATGATCTTCACAACCACAAGACAAGTAAAAACAGATGGAAGCTATGAGTTATTTAAAAATATAGAAGCAATGCCCCTAAAATAGTTCACTTGAACAGATGAAGAATCACAACTGCAGCACCAAAGACTAAAGACAAAAGCCCGTTGTACCAAAACAATACCAAAACACAAGAGGGGGGGGGGGGGAGGACAGAATAATGTGGCTCAAGGAAATTTAACCAATTAAAGTAAGTGTAAGATAAAAGAAGTATTACATGCATCATTCAGCTGATTAATAGTTTTACCAGTCTCGCCCACCCCTTCCACAGTGGCACTGTCTGATCCCAATGTCTTCTAATACCATATGTTGCTTACATTATTATTTTCTCCAAGATGTGTCATCCATTTTTGCTTTAGGCACAAAAAGCAATGCTTAAATAAATCCGAACTCTATGAAACTGCAATTATGCTAAAAGAAACATACAATATATAGAAAAGAATCCTGTCACGCACTGGTAAGTAAGCAAAGTATTTCAAATATCTTCCCATTCCAAACCATACTTTTATTTTGAAAAAAATTAAAGTGGATGGTTGTGGAATGCATTACATGCAAGAATTGTGGAGCAAATTGTTTTAAAGTAGTTGTCACCATTTTCCACGTACAGTAAGATCTTGATTATCCAACATAAACAGGCCAGCAGAATGTTGGATAAGTGAAAATGTTGGATAATAAGAAGGGATTAAGGAAAAGCCAATTAAATGTCAAATTACATTATGATTTTTCAAATTAAGCACTAAAACTTCATGTTTCACAACAAATGGACAGAAAAAGCAATTTAATACATGGTAACATTATGTAGTTATTACTGTATTTTTAAATTTAGTAACCAAAACATCACATTGCATTGAAATAGCTGCGGATCCGGGTGGGAGGGGGATTGCATTGGATAATACAAAACGTCGGATGAGCAAAGGTTGGATAATTGAGACTCTACTGTAGTTGTTTTTGGAAATGCTACACAAGTTTGACCATGCCTGCTATAAAAAACCTTAAAAATATAAAACTTTGTAACTGAAGTATTGATTTAGCACAAGTGCTAAAGTCAGAATGTTTTCTTCTTCATATCTATATAATGGAATCTGCAGCACATAATCAACCTTTGGAAACATAAACAAAAACAAAAATGCTCCTTTGCTAGAAAATCTTCAGGAAAGACACTAGCTTCTCATGCGGCTCAGTAAAGGATGTGCTGTAAAAAGAAACCAGAGAAGCACAAAGCCTGGAACACAAAACATACAAATTTTCAAGGTGACACCAAATAACCATAAGGAGTTCAACTATGTTTTTAAGACAATGATTGTTTATCCATCATGCAAAATTATGCATATCTAACGCTGCCCACTTCACTTAATATTAATGCCAGGTTCTCTATTTTTGTTTGCAACAAGGGTATGACAGTTGGCATCCTTTTTAAGGAATGTGACCCAGTTTTAAATGTGCAATGAATGTTACACCCTTCTCATATATAATGCTGACTTCATGTCAACTTTGATTTTGCATCCAAAAACTGAGTAGCTAATCACTGTCAAACTTCTTAAGTTGTTTGCAGCGATTGAGCACACAACACTATATTCTCCAGAGCAGATATGGCAATATTTGTTTGTTAACATTCCCAGGAATGTTTTTGAACAATACAATATTGTAGTTTAGAATAGATAATCCAGAGCAATGGTTTGAATTATATCCTTTCTGTCATCCAATTCTTCACTTTTCCCATATGCTTAATCTCCATTTCATCATACCAAGTAGGATGAGAAAGAGACATGGAAAATAAAGATTTAATTTTTAAATTGATGGTGGCTGACTAAACTTGGCTCTGCAGACAGCTCTTAAATTTCCAAGTTGGCACGGCCTTCAATAACGTGTTGGCTAATCAAAGATCAAATTTTTCCAAGTTTTAAATCTCACAATAAAATACAGCTAACATCCAGATCACATATCAGGCTAAAAAAGCTGATAGTTTTATTTGTTGTATAAATAAAACAAAATAAGTTATCCTCTGATCAATGTGCCAATATTGAGATGGAAAATAAAGTTATGTTTAGTACTGCCAGAGATTATCATTGTTATTTTTTTTAAACATACTATTTAAAGTACAGTAGACTCTAACCACCTCATTAGATGCAGTGATTTTAGCATCCTAGGATGCTTCCAGCCTGTCTGGAGGACTGATGGGCTCATTGCCCATCAGATGACCAAAGGGAGCTTCCTGTGGAAGCCCCAACCCCAAGCAGGGTGAAAGCAGAATGTGATGGGGAAAGTATTGCCAAGAGGGAGCTGCGTGCTGGGTGACAGATTTGCCCTGCTGCTCCCCCCCCCCCCCCAAGAAATCTTTCTGATGAGGTTGTTAGATAACTGGCACCCATGAGAATTGTTAGATGTTGGATAAAAGTAGTTTGGGGTCACATGAGAGTTACTATTAAAAATAGACGTAAGTAATACTATACCCAATATTAAACCATACCATAAAATTGTATTGACTTGATATTAATACTGAAATGCAGCAAATGAAGACAAACACAAGCAGTCCCCGAGTTACAAGCATCCAATTTATAAAAGACTCATAGTTAAGAATTGGGGGGGGGGGGGCAACAGGAAGCGAGAGAAATCTATCCCTTGGAAGGGAAATTTACTCCTGAAAGAGTGATCATGACAAAAAGATGTCTCCACTGAGCTTCTCACCAATTCTTGTTTCCACATCAAGCCAATTTTTTCAAAATCCAGTTATAACAAGGACAGAAGTTGAGGTGAAGTCTTCTGAACACTGGAACAGATAGCAAAACAAATTCCACAGAGGTGTTAACTGTTCTCTATGCTATCTAAAGTATATGTGTTTGTGTCCAGGGTAAGGTTACTGCCTGCTCATTACTAAAAAGAAATATACAATATGTGAATGATTAGCTGAGTAGAAAGTTAGATTCACTTTAAGGTTCCCCTTCAGTCAGGCAGAAAAGGGGTGACTCTTTCCAGAAAACACAAAGAGGTAATGTCTTTCCTTTTTTTGGAATATTTCCTCTCCACTTTTTTTTTGTCGTATCAGAAGCAACTTGAAAAACTGCAAGTCGCCTCTGGTGTGAGAGAATTGGCCGTCTGCAAGGACGTTGTTCAGGGGACACTCAGATGTTTTGATGTTTTATCATCCTTGTGGGAGGCTTTCCTCATGTCCCCGCATGAGGAGCTGGAGCTGATAGAGGGAGCTCATCCGCGCTCTTCCGGATTTGAACCTGCGACCTGTTGGTCTTCAGTCTTGCCGGCATAGGGGTTTAACCCACTGCGCCACCGGGGGCTCCTCTCCACTGAACTCACAGTAGTAGTACAATAATATCTTCCAAATCTCCTATCTGATTATAACTTCCACTTCCCACTCTCAGTTAATGAGTATGCCTCCAGGAAAGCAAAAGATATCTAAAACCACTATCTCTATCATAGGAAATGACAAATAACAATGCAATTCACTGCATTATGCAATAATCATTGCACCCCCCTTTTTGGGTCCAAAAATGAACTTCCAGCCTTTCCTCGCATAATTGTCATATGTAATTTACACAGGTGTTTGCGGCTCCGATTATCCGAAGGCAAGGCAGTTTACAAAATCTGAAATGCAGCTCAGATCTTCCCTCTGCCTTCCTTCAAGGCAAAGCAGTTTTAAAAAACAAACGGAAATTGAGATGTTTATTTAGAATTGGAATCATCCCTCCTCCTCATCTTGGGGTAAGGTTTGTTCTATCTGTTTCTTAAAAAATCAGAATCAAAGATTATTTTTTTCATCACATAATAGTCGCATCCCTCTTTTTGGCAAAAAAGGGATAAAAGTAGAGTTATTATTCAATGAAATATAATATAAAATTGATTCTTATATTACTTCACTGTAATATTAGCCAGTGTGGGGGCAGAACACAGCCCATGCTTATAATATGTAGCTAGGAAGAATTAAATGGGACAGAGTGGTTATCATAATGGGTGTCCGTGCAATTGTTTTATCAGTTGAACAGTTTCACCATTAGTTCTTTGATCAACATAGCAACCTTGAAGTCAGGAAGGTATTTGCATTTATCTAGAGTTGCCAAACTTTGCATATCGCAGAAGGGTAATTCCTTTGAGAACAGCCAAGGTAGATTGACTTTAATTATGGGCTGAATCTAATTATGAGTTAACTTTAATCATAATACCATGGACCATGAAATTGTCTGCAAGGCAAGTGGGGAATTACTTGGACCTGATATTCTTGGCAGAATTTGTCTTCCAACAAGTATCAGAATAGTTGAAATCTCCCATTACTATTATATTTCTCTTTTCTGAATGTGTGGTCAACTGTTTAGGAACACATCATCCAGGTCCTCAGTTTGGCTTGGAGGTCGGTCCCCTTAATGTTTACCCAGATACTCTCAAACTGGCTCCGAGAATTTACATCATGGACCTCCATACATGTGTAAGCATCCTTGATATACAATGCTACTCTTCCTCCTCTCCTGTTTGGTGTATTTTTCTTTGTTGAGTTCTTGTACTTTTTGCCCAGTTCTCTCTATAACAGTTGGAG